TCTCTCTCTCTCTCACTCTCTCTCTCTCTCTCTCTCTCCCTCTCACCCTCTCCCCCACTCGCAGTTAATCTCTCTCAAATAAATAAAGTAGCAAATTACTTTTGGCCTTCAGCTACTGGGTATGTGTGCCTGTATACCTGCGTGACCTTACTCCTGTATACCCTTCAGGGACTGTGCAGCCCGAGTGTGTGGATTTACAGCCACCTTCATGGTACCATTGTTACTGTCAGAGACTCAGATCCCCTTCCTCAACAGGACAGAACACTTAAGGGAGCCTTCCTGTGATGTCTGGGGCAACTCATAAAGACGGAGGAGCAGCGGCAGAATCACGCAACGCAAACCCAGTAGCTAGCCAAGAGAGACCAGGGAGAGAGGCCCTGCACGCTTCATGCCCACTATCCAGATGCCACCGAAGGGACATGGGCTCCACTTTTTTCAGGGAATATCATGCCTCCAGTCTGAAACCAAAAAAAGGTGTCTTGCTACCCCACATAGCATTAAGAGTAAGTCAAGAAAAGTTTGCCTTTCTGTGTTCATAAACTGCTCCCAGAACTGAAGCACCAGGGCCTCTGGGATTAGAACTGGCAAAAGCAGTACACTCAGAAGCAAATTAAAATAAGGTCCTGTAAGCTTGGAGCCTGAGCCTGCTTCCGATTCTGTGTCTCCCTCTCTCTCTGCCCCTCCCCGCTTGTGCACACTCACGCTCTCTCTCTCTCTCTCTCTCCCTCTCTCTCTCAAGAATAAACATTAAAGCAGATTATACAAAAATAAAAAATAAATAAATAAAATAAGGTCTTGTCAGCCAACTGGCCATGGAATAAATCATGCCCTTGCTGGTGCGGCATCCAGGCCTACAGACCTGATGTACAGCCTAGACCCCTCACTGGAACTTTGAAGATACAAGCCCTCCAGCGAAGAAGTTGTCTTCCTCATGAAACTACAGGATATGTGACCACATGTGCCCTCTGAGGCCTGAGTGGGCATCTGAAAGGGAGCAAGACCCTGTATGTGTAGTCACACGCTCTAAGGTACTTGTTTACCTCAGGACCTTGGCCACAGATAGGCATTAAGAGTCACCACGGAAAAATAAAAATAAAAAAATAAAATTAAAAAAAAAGAGTCACCAAGGAAGATACAGCACAGATTTAAATGCATATACATTTAAATCACCCAAACAAGCGGGTGGACGGCAGACTACGGGTGCGGAAGGGCACATGGGTATGGATGAGGAGGCGTTTGGGAAATTAGTGTGTATGTGTGGCGGTACATTTGTATAATGGGGTGGGAGTATAAGGGGAGGTAGGCACGGAGAGAGTAGTAGAAATGTGTCTGTGTGTATACACAGGGTATGGACATGTGGGGTATGCTCAGGTGTGGGGGTGAGTACAGGCGTGTGTGCACAGATGGGTTTGGATGGCCAGGTGTGGGTATATGGATGTGTACGTATTTGTTGGGTAGGGTGGGGGAATATGTACATATGTACACTGGCTGTATGTATCCAGGGTATGTATGGGAAGAGTGTCTATGTATGTATGTGTATGTGAGAATGTGGGTACATGTGCTGGAGGCCTATGGGTATCTACATATGGTGGGGAGATACATAAGTGTAGTGCGCAGGATGCATACACAGATGTGGAAGCAAGGATAGGAGGTGTGTGTGTGTGTGTGTGTGTGTGTGTGTCGTATTTGTGTAAGCGTGGGGTGGGGAGGTGTGGACGTGCAGGTATGGATGTATATGCATAGGGAGGGGGGAATGTTGGTTTATATTCATGTGGGGAAGGTGAGGGACATATGTGTATGTGTGTGTTGGAGTAGGTGTGAAAGCGGGCTGTGCAGGGGGATACAGGGATGTGTGTGTATGTGTGGAAGGAATATGTATATGCATTTAAGGTATACGTGTGTGGGGTTTATGTGTAGATGTGAATGTGCGGGGTGTGGGTCTTTGCATAGAGCATATACATGGGGGTAGAAGGAAGTGGGTGTGTGGGCATGTGTAGTGTGTATGAGTATAGATGTGGATATGGAGATGTGGAGGGAGAGATCTATGGGAATGGGGGGAGTGGGAGATAACTGTGTACGTATGGGGTATGGATGTAGAGTGTACAGAGGTATATGGGTATGAGGATATGTGTGTGTGGGAACACTGTATGTGTGGAGAGTATATGGAGTGGCAGGGGAACGTGTGTATGTGAGAGGGAGTTTGTAGGTGTGGATGTGGGGGGCCTATATGTTTACAGTTGTATGTGTGTATTTGTGGGGTACGTGAGAAATGATCATAAGCATGGAGGTATATGGTGGGAAGTGTGGATGTGTGAACATGTGAGGGTACGTGGGTGTGTGGATATGTGACTGGCTAGGAGGAATATCTCTGTATGTGTGGAGGTTTTAGGGATGTGGGCATGGGTGGGCAGGGATGAGGGAAGGACACCAGAATATTAATGGGCCCTGAAAACCTCAGCGAAGCAAAAGTCTGAAAGCAGAGACCTGGCTTGAGACTTAAGAGAAGGTGTGGAGGTTGCATCGGGCTCGCTGCTGTCAGCACAGAGCCCGCTTAAGATCCTCTGTCCCCCTCTCTCTGCCCCTTCCTCACTTGGGCTCTCTCAAAAATATATAAAAAACATGAAAATAAAAACAACAAAATACATTTTAAAAAAAGACAGAGAAGGTGTGTGGGGGTTGAATTGAATTTCCAGTGGCAGCTGAACATTCCAGGAGCTTCCAGCACTTGGGGAGGGGCCATGTAATAACAACATTTTGACTATGGGCATTAGCACCAGCTAGAGAACCAAGGCCAGCATTAAGTCCCCAGCATTCTTTCCTCCTTCCCTGAGAACCCAGGCTTCCTTCTAGGCACCTAGCAAGGAACCGTACCTAGCACCCCAACACGATAGTTGAGGGTGATGACGATGACGTTGCCATAACTGGCGAGGACGCTGCCATCAATCATGTTGCCCGTCCCTTCCATGTAAGAGCCTCCATGGATGTAGACCATGACGGGCTTAGCGCCACTGTCCCGGATGTCTGCAAGGAGAAGGGGTAAGACACAGGCTGGGTAGGATGCCCTTCCTCCCTCACCCCCGCCAGCCAGCCCTGGGGGGGTGTGGGTAGCAAAGCTATCCCAGGTGCCAGGACACCACCGCCAGCTCTGAGGGCAGGACTCATGGGGACTGCTCAGCCTGGAGCTCAAGCATCAGCCAGAGACTTGGCCAGAGTTGGACTTGAGTGATGTTTGTAAAGACTCTGGTTTCAGCCTCACAGCTGAAGGCAGTCAGCCATGCCTGGTACATCTAGGCTCAGGTAGGCCATGGCTGGGGTCTGGGGACGGGGAGCAGGAGGAAGAGGAAGGGCTGTTCTCTTAGGTGAATCGAGTGAGTCCCTGCCCTGGGCACCCAAGGGTCCTGGGACCTGAAATGGCTTCAGAGAGCAGGGGCTGGGGAGCCCTGAAACCCCCAAGACTAGACCAGTTACATGGAAATACGGCCATTGGCAGCAGCTGGCCCCCCAGTGCAGACAGAGACAAGAGGGGTGGGAATAAGGGGTGGCACAGGGAGAGAACAAGGAAGGGTGTGGGTAAAAGGGGGTGAATGGCAGAGATGGGGTGGGGGGAACCTTACTGACATGGTTTCTCAGCCATGTGCTCATTTACCCCATTCTCCCCGGGCACCAGGCAGACTTAACTGGAAGCACAGGGGATGGGGAAGAGGAGAGGGCCGGAACTAAGAAGGAGAGAGACCCCCGCCCCCAGTCAGCATTAAGATGAAGGTGGAGCCTCCCCAGAGGCCATTCAAGGAGAGACCTTCAAGCCGCCTGCTCCTAAGTCCAGGCGGCACAGTGGCACTGGGGCTGGGCCATCTAGAGAAAGCCCTCCACCTGACCACCTCCACCTGCAACCTCTCAGTGTGTGAGCTGGACCAACAACACTCTTCCCCAGTGGCACGGCCCTACCAGCCACCAGTGGGGCTCCCCCTGAGCTGCTTGGCCTCCCCAAGGGTGGAGGGGCAGGGCCAGGGCAGGGAGGTGGAAGGGGATGTTCCCTGCTGCCAAGCAAACACACCCTGTTTTCCCAAGGAGGAAGGAAGACTGGTTCAACCATCACGCAAGGATCTCATGCTATCTACTAACCGGGCTGTGGTGTCCTGGCCTCAGCCTGGCACTGTAGCCCTCAGCCTTTCTGGCCCCGTCCTGAGCCTATCACAGCCCCTGGCCCTGAGGCCGAGTCTCTCTTTCTGGGAGATGGCCGGGGAGTTCTCGGTAGTGCTATGCTCCAGCCCCTTCGGTTGTCACTGCCTCACTCCTCAGTGCAACATCCTGCTGGGCCCCTCTCCCAGGAGCCAGTCTCTCTGTAACACACAGGGGCCTCCGCAATGAAACACAGGTATCTCCTCGCCATCCGGTTTCCTTCACGCCTCTCCTCGCCCTCCCTCAGGCCTGCTGATCAGTCGGGGCAGGTGCCCATGAACCACAGAAGATGGGGGAGGAAGCTGTCTCTGGCAGTGGCTGCTTCTACTGGAGGACTGAGGACGGGGCAGGGGGCGGTAGGGGACCGGGGCGAGGAGGATGCCTTCCCCATGGCTCTGTTTGTGGTCCCCTGCTCCAGCCAGCCGTGTCCATCACCCTGGAACTCCCAGCGGCCAACCAGGCCAAAGATGGATGAACAGCCCAACAGCCTCATAGAGGAACAAAAACACACCAACGGACGGACAGACAGACAGACGGGGCTTCTCCCCATCGAGAGGGGGAGGGGCTCTGTGCCATGCACCAGCCGCCGCACCCTGCAGCCCCCAAATACCTTCATCTTCATCCCCGTCATTATCCGCTAAGTCCTCGCCCTGTTTCTTAGCGCCGGATCCTGGGGACCAGACACGGGGAGACACAACAGCACAGAACAGAGAACAAAACAGAGAGAGAATTCAAAAACAGCATGACTGCAGTGTGGCCCAGCAAGCCAGCTCTGGGCTTGGGCCCAGGACAGGCAGGAGGGATGGCAAGAACTGAGGGAATGGGTGGGCTGAGGCCCAGACCTTCATCAGGAGGATGGTGTTGCAGGCCCCTGCGGTGCTGGCCTCCCTGCACCTCCCTACCCCGCCTCCCTGCTCCCAACAGCCCATTTCAACCAACTACCTTCCCAGTTAGGAAGGAGGCAGCAGCCTGTGGGCCAGGGCACAGAGCAAGAGACCCACTCAGGGAAAGGATTTCCTCCGGGTGGGAGGGGCTGCGCATGTGTACGTAGGCAGGCTGAGCTGGAGAGCAGGGGCAGGCACTGAGGGTGAGAGGTGGCGTCGCCAGCATGTTGGACATGGACATGAGCTATTCGGGCAGAGACGGGTACTGGGGCGCCCAGCCCTGAGCTACCTGGGCCCAGTGGGAAGGCTCAAGCTGGGCCTCAGCTGACCCTGATTCCCAGAGGAAAAAATTGGGAGATGAAGCTTTCCCTCTGGTTTTCCTCATTGGGGCCCCCTGCTCTGGCTAATGGCAAATGGGGTTCCTGCTCACAGGAACCAGGCCTAAGAGCAGTAAGTGCTGCTTTGAGATCTAGAGAGAGCCAGAGAGGGAGGGAGGGAAAGAAGGAAAAGGGAGAAGGAAAAAGGGATGAGAGAGAGAGAGAGAGATAGGAATAATGGTAATAGCTCCTACCATCTACTGAATATTTACCATGTGCCAGACACTCTACTTCTGCCATATGGTTTGATCCTTACACCCCAATGAGGTAGGCACTGTCTCTATTCCTGTTTCACTGATGGGGAAACTGAGGTTCAGAGAGGTAAAGTGACTTGCTCAAGATCACATAGCTAGGAAGTGCTAGAGGTCAGATTCAAACCCAGGTCTACTTGACTCCAAAGCCCATGGTCTTTCCACTGCACCATGCCACCTTTCCAGGACCAGGACGGGGTTGGTGGGGGGTGGGGGGAAATGGAAGGAAAACATCAGTGAGAAAGAGGTGGAGCATGGAGGGGAGGGGAGAGAAGGGAAGGAGAGAAAAGAAGGGACCGGAGGAGAGAAGAGAGACATTTAGGACCTGTGGGTAAGCTGGCACCAACTCTCCTTCCTGTTCTAAGTTGATGAGAGGTTCATCTTGAGCGTGGCTGTGGAGAAAGAGGACCTACTGCCTGGAAGCTGGTCAGAGTAGGGAGACTGAGGTCATTCTGCCAGCACCCCAGGGCTTACCCTCTTGTCTATGACACCAGATGCTCTCAGCCTGGAGGCAGCAAATAGCCCTCTTTCTCAGGTGGTCCGGGCTCTGGTGACTGAATTCCCTCACAGCTATTAATCAAAACAGGAACCGCCCTCATATTACAAAATGGCTAGGGCAAGAGCCCGGCCCTGAGGGGCAGAAACTGCCTCCGGCTTCCCGAACTTTCAGTGGCACCTACCGTCTTAACACCTGCCAGTTACTGCCCTCAAAAACCCTGTGGGGCACGGGACAGCATCATCCACGCAATGGACAGAACCCCACACGGAAAGGAAGTCCTCATCCCTAAACGTGAATTCCCTCCAGCTTGATGGGGGTGAAAGTGGGGGGATGGGGCAGGTCTTCCCCTGGAAATCCCTTACTTCCTGTGGCACTGACTTAGAAGGTGAGTCCGCTTTGCCCCCACCTCCTCAGCACCCCCAGCCCCCGCCCCCCCCCAAGTGTCCCTGGGTTGCCGCATGGTCCCAGCCTCCTCTGCACAGATGCCTTTGCTCCTTCAGCTTAGCACTTGCTGAGCAACTCCTTGTTGCCATGGCGGTCACCCGGGCCAGCCCGACCACCATACCCCGTCCCAACACTGTGCTGCTGCAGGATCCCAACCAGGCCAGTCCTGCCTACCCTACGCACACCACAATCCTAATGACCTCTGCGGGCGTATCTCCCCCAAGAAGCAGGGACTGTAATTCCGTTCCAAATGGCCACCAGGCCCCAGATAAGGAACTGATCTAAGCAAGGAAAATGACCAAATGCCCTCCCCCACACTGTCTGGAACTCACTTCCCAGCTTGGCCTGTGGGGCTTAGCTAAACCAGCTGAGTTCCAATATCAGGATAGGAGCTTCTTTGGAGTAGTGGTGAGGCCTTATTTCTAAATCTTTCCTCTGCCTCATATCCCTCCACAGCCCCACAGTGCCCAGCTCGCGGGCATTGCCCACAGTCAACAATCATGATAGGGAAATGTTTGCATTTGAGTGGAGCTGCCAGGGAGTGCTATAGCCAAACTCTCAGGACCGGACAGCCCTGGGCTCTCGCTGGCACCCCAGGGAGATCATTCCTCCTAGGAAATGGTTATCGTGAATGTCATTACCGTCCTCTCGCCCACCACCGCCCCTGGAAGTAACCCATGAAGAGCTGGTTTACAAGACCCTCTTCCTGAATTCATTCACAAGCCAACGGAATGTTAAGGCCACAATGGTCCCCTATGCCCTCCTTCACGCCCCCCTCCCTGCAGAGGCAGATGCAGAGGCTCTGACAGGGGGGAAAAGTCGTGCCTGAAGTCTCTCACTGTGAGTTAGCAGAAGAGCTGCGACTCAGTCAGGCTTTGTGGGTCACAGACCTGTAGTCTTTTTTGCAGCACCGTGAATGCTCCTTCCTTTGTGCAAAGAAGCGTCTACTGATGGCCTAGTGCGTGTGAGGTCCTGGGCAGGGTGTGGGGATGTAGTGGAGCACTATCCCAGAGCAGCAGGCCCGCTCGGTGCATCAAGAGCGCATGGAGAACACGCTCAGCATGTGGCTCAGCATGTGGCTTCCCGGAATCTGCCCCTGGAGACACCTCCTCAGCAGGGGAGCATCCGGGCCGAAGGAATCCTGCCGGCCCCACTCAGGGAAACCCTGCCCTAGGATTTCAAAGGAAAACAGAATCCAAGCTTGCCAACAGGTTGTACGGAGCAGGCTGTGATCTTCCACCTGTTCCTTAAGTTGTTCCCGGTGCCAATTTGGCCCAGCTCATCCACATTTCACCATTTTTTCCAGAGGCAAGGAGGTGAAAATGAGCAGATGGGAGTTGCCTTGCGTTCTACAGTGGAAAGAACACTGCCCCAAGGGTCAAGAGACCCAGGTTTGGGTCGCAGCTCCGCCACAGACCGGCAACAGGGCCTCGAGCAGCAGCAAGTCACTCCCCTGGGCCCGTTTCCTCATCCGTAAAATTGGGAAACTTATTCCTGCCTTAGAAGCTTCCGGAAACGTGGGGAGGATTTTATGAGCTAGGCATGAAAGCGCTTTGCGGAAAACAAGACGTGGTAAACGGACGGGAAAGATCCTTGACCCAGGGGGACCAAATTCCTCCCGAGCAAGAGGGTAAATTTAAAATTCAGGATCTCATGCTTCCTTCAGAGTCCTTAGTTCCCAGGGACCCCCATCGTCTGCCACCAGACTACCCAGGGTCAGTCGGCCAGGCTTCTGGCCAGACGTGGTGGCAGGACAACTTTGGTCTAAACTTCAGGGTCAGAGAGCTGAGTCTAGACTTTGGACCCAGGAAAAAGCACGGAGGGATGAGTTGGTAGCTCCCCAGCCAGGAAGAGAGCAGGGTCCCTGGCTCCTCTCAAATGCCTAGAGTTTCCCCCGAGGTGGAACTACCAGGTTCTGTCTTTGGCACATGCACTAAGGCAGAACTTGGGGCGGGGGGCGGGGACCGGCAGAAATGGGGTTGCTGCTTCTGCTCTGAACCTGCCTTAGGCCACCAAATCCTCCCTGAAAAGCAGCCAGGGCCCTTGGATAAGGTAGAGCTTATGCCTGCTCACCGACCGCCCCCTGAGCCTGGGCTACTTGAAGGAAGGCTGGGTCTTCAGGGGCAAGGGCAGGTGGGCAGGCAGCCCTCCCTCTCTCTCTCTCTCCCTCCCCGCCGGCTCGCTACCTACCTCCTTTCCTACAAATTTTCTTGTTGGGCTTTCGGGCGCATTCCTTGGAAATCCGCTTTACTGTAAAATGAATAAAAAACTAAAAAATAACAGGAGGCCTCTGCCCAGGGGCATGCACCCCCCACCCACCCCCAGGCTCCAAGAGCTGCTCTGCGGGGCGGCACATGGCAGAGAGCCTGTCCGCCATCTCCTTGTTTCTGTCACTTACCTTAGTGTGACCCCCGCGGGAGGAGGCATCGGCTAGCCAAAGAGGAGGCACCTAAGCAATGCCCACCAGGCTTGCCCCCCGCCCCCCACACACACCCAGCTCCCTTGGCCACACACACCTACCACCTTTCAAAGCAGGCGGAATGGCAACAGGGGGGCCTGGTGGAGCCAGCATCCTCCCGCGGGCAGCTGCCAACAGTGACCCATACTCCCCCGGGGAACCCCCATCCAGCACTCTGGCCCTAGATCTGTCAAAGCTCTCAGGCCTGGCCAGGCCCCTCCTGGTAACAGTGTCACTCACACATGGGAGCTCAGACAATGCTGGGAGAGGGAAGAACAGGGAGGAGGAAGGGGGAGGCCGAGCAGAGTGATGGTTAGAAGCATTTTCACAGACAGACAGATGCATGCTGCAGGGCACACGACCACATGCGAGCCACAAACACAACAGGGCAGGTTGGAGGCGGGGAGGGCACAGTGCCTGGCCACAGCACTCACCATCCTCCGTGGGCACATAGACATTCAGGTAGAGGCAGTCTTCATTGGGCTCCTGGATGTAAGTAGCGACAATATCCAGGTTGGCAGTGAACCAGACGGGCAGCATGACTTCGGGCACAGCCGTGTGGATGTTCTGGGGGCACACTGGGGGAAAGTGCGTGGCGTTCCGGATGCCCGACCAGGATGGGGGTGGCTCGGGGGGCAGGAAACGTTTCTCGCCGATGGGGGGAGCTGCGTAGGGCACCCCCAGGTATTGGTCCACAGGCCCCAGGATCTCACTGGGCAATGGTACCCGGGCACCCCTTAGCTTCCCAAAGTGAGTATTGACTGTGGGCGCTGGGGCCTGGGTACTGGCCCTCAGCACCAAGCTGAGGAACCACAGGGTGAGGCACAGACTCCGGCCAACGGTGGACTTGGGGCTCAGGGACAGCGAGGGCGGGCCAAGCCGCAGCCACATGTTCCGGGCAGGGGGACTGGCAGGAAAGGCAGACTCCAGGGTCACAGCATCAGCCCCATAGGCAGCCCCTTCATGGCCACACTGACTTGAACCTCAAGACTGAGCTCTCGAGGGACACCTACAGGTGCCCCGCAATGCAGAGAGGTCGTCCAAGCACCACAGCTTCACAAAGGGGACTCCCTCAGGGCCAGACAGGCCTGTGGAAAGAGGGAAGCATGCGTCATCCAAGATGGTCAGGGAGGGCTACGGAGCCTAGGAGCCTAGGAGCCTAGATGGGTCTTTGGGGCCCTGCTGGGCTCGGGCTGCTCTCCTACAGTTAGGAGAGCGCTCCCGTGCCAGGGCTTCAAGGGACCCACGGATGATCTCCACTGCTGGTCAGAACCAGTCTAGGTGCCTGGCATGGTTGGAAAATCCTAGGGAACTGGCACGGTGACAGTTGTTGCCACTGCAAAGCTCCTAGTCCCCAACTCTGACTCCTTAGCTGATAGAGCTCATCGAGGTCAGCTGGAGCCAGAGCAGCATGTTGGGAGCAGGGGGTGGGGATGACTGGACATGGAGCCCAGGTTCCAAGCATGCCACAAGTGAACACCGAACTCTCTAGACACCCGGCCCCAGGAACCCCACACGGGGACCTCCCACATGAGCAGAGGGTAGGATTGTGAACCTCACTCTGGGGTTCTGGAAAAGCAGCATATAGGCAAAAGGTCCCACATAGAGACCTCCTCACCCTCAACCAGGGCAAGGGGCAGGATAGCCACTCACCAGAGTCCCCAGACCCTCCTGCGCCCCTTCTGTACATTTCTCTTCAGCCCTCACTGCTCCCAAAGTCTTAAGCCTTGGTCCTTTCTGTCGGCTATCTCTAATTCACACTGAGTGCCAGAACTGAGGCAGAAACCGCTGTGCCTAGCACCCCAGGCATTGTTGATGCTCAGCCAGTGTAAAATAAACAACGGAGTGTGGGGGACACACACTCAGAGCCTCATGGAAATAAACTCACAAAGACTCAAAGAGGGAGTGAGAGAGACCAAGCCAGGATCACAGACACTGCGATATTCACTCACAGAGACATATATTCCAAACCCACAGAGATCCCCTCATATAGTCCCACATTCTGAGACAGAGAGCCTCACAGAGCCAGAGAATCACAGAGAAATACATTCAGAAACACCCACAGAGACTTACTGAAGCAGAATCACACACACCACATAGGTAAATATCCAGAGACATACACGGCATAATGGTGACACATAGGTGGAGACAGAAACAGAAATACAGCACACTCAAGATATACGGGCTTTCTGACACACAGTTATACAGTCAACACATAAACACAGGCACACACAGACACTGCTGCATGGACACACACACACACACACACACACACACACACTTTAGTTTTCCCTATTTCTGCCGCCTTCCCAGATTGCGGGCCTGCTCCTTTAAGAACTGGCTGAAGGGGTGGGGGAGGGGAGGGAGATTGGAAACGCCCGGGAATCGGCTACCA